GAAAACTCCAGTGACACTTCATCCAGTGTCACTTTCCCCATGAAACTCCTGAGGACTGCAGAGAATAACTGGGTGTTATGAACAGATTGGAGTCCTTGTATTGAGGGGCTTTCCATCGTCCCAAAAGGGCTCCTCCTTCTAAGAGCGGACAGGGTGGGATAAGGGCTGAGGAGAGTGGGGCCCCTGGTTTCTTTCCTGCTCTGTGACCCCCACAGCATGAGCAGAGTGAAGGAGGGACGTGGATCTCCTGTTTGGCTGGGAATTCTGTGGAACCACATAAAGGAACCGGCCCAGCAGGCGCTGCATGTGTGGCAGGATATGAGCAAAAGGAAAGGAGAGAAAGGGATTGAGCTGAGCTCTTCCTTAGACACATTTAAATGCTTTGGAAGAGAAAGGAAACTCTCTCCTTGGGAGGAGGAGGAGGAAGGTCAAGCTGGAGGAAGGAGGAATGGGGTGATCACTTATTGCTCTGCTTGTCCTGAGCTGCCCAAGAGCCTGGGAGGTGTCACAAGCTCCAGGGCTGCTCTCTTGGCTCTTGTCCTACCTGCAATGGCCTCCAGACCTGGTGCTCTTCTATTTCTGATCACTGAAGGGTGCAGGGGAGCCCTTTGGGTAGGTCTGGTCCCCAGAGCACCCAAACCCAGGGGACCCCAGCGTGGGACACAGGGTGGGGCACACACGTACGTTCTTTGGCGTCCTGTGTAGAGTTGCGTGATAACATCTCACTGCCCCACTTATCCCCGGCGTAGCTGGCTGGCAGCTTGTGAGTTGGACTGGACGGGCCATAGCCCCTGGGGCTCAGGTCTCCTTTGTACCTCTGGTTAGACTGCTTAGAAAGGGAGGGACAAAAAAAAAAGTAAGATTTTTTTTCTGCCTTTTTTCATTTTCATTTAAGAGACAAACAGCCATGTTGTCCTTGTGCTGATGTGGGACTGGTGAGACCCCAGGTGGAACTGCACGGAAGAAGTTAATTTATGAGAATGAAGAACCCAAAGCAAAGTCTGAGGTTTGCATGAGAGAATTCTAAACATGCCAAACATGTTCAATCCCATTGGAAGGCAAAGCCTCACTGCTCCATAGCTGGGATGTGAAGCGTGACCACTGCCAAGGGCCTGGAGGAGACTGAGAAGTTTTTTGACATTTTGATTAAACTAGCAAGGATTTATCCAGAAGCTTGCTGGGCCCCCTTTGGCTTTGTCCAAACTCTGCAACACCAAAATTGGGAAGCAATTCCATGCTTCCCTAGGGTGTTCAGAACACTCCAGCTCCACATTTCTGTAGTGCAAGTTGCAGTATTCACTTAATTCTCACTTAAATGGCATTTCCATCTGCCTCCACTGGAGTGATGTGTTCCTGCTGCTGAACTGAACTAGGTGAGGGAAGTGTCCATCTTTATTTAATCCCCAGCAAAAAGCTTGACATGGACAAACTTGGAAGACAGGAGGCAGCTGCACAAATGGGAAGGATAGGCCTTATTTGGGAAAGTGGTCATGGCAAAATGGGAGTTGTATCATAGGAGATTCAGGAATTTCCTGACTTTGTCCATTTCTGAGGGTTCATCCTGACTTGTGCATAGTATCCTAAGAAATCCAGGGAGATCTAATGACAAGATTATTCCCAGAGGCAGATTGTACCAGTCAGGTACCACCTGACTACAGACCTGTTCAAGCTCTTCCAGTGTCACCACATCCAGGATATTGTATGGAACGTAACCAGCCTGGCCACTCCGGTTGAGCAACTTCCACCATTGTTTATTATCTTCCAACACCTGAGAGAGGGACAGAAATAAATCTGCTAGTGGGAACATGGGCTTTCAGGCATATACAACCAGGATACAGTGGGGATGGACCACCCAGAAGGTGAAGTTGCCAGAAGGACATCACTGAGGCCAGGAGCTCTGATTAGATCTGCTCCTCTTAGATGTAATCCAGGATTGAAACTTTTCCTGGAAGGCATCAGAATTTATCATAAGGATGAAGAGGAGAGCACCTCTGGGTGCTGAAGAACTCATGCTTGCTATGTAATGTCCCTGTTTCTCCAGATCTTTTTTTTTTCCAATGACTGAATTTCTGGTGTATTTTTGTGCTAAAATAAATATATAAATTTTTTAAAATCTACATTTTGCACAGAAACCTTTTCCCCAGGTCACAGATCAGTGTTAGCCCAAGTAATGTCCCACACTATCCAGCTGCAGGAAGAGAAAGGTTATGAAAAAAGTATTTTTCAGAGAAAACAATTCCTCATGGAGGGGGAAGTGGTAATAAGGAGCACAGACCCAGCAGGGGATGAGCAGGGCAGGACAGGGAGTTGTTGTTGTCCTTCCCTCACCGTGGTTGGGATGGGACC